GAGCAAAAATAAGTAAAACTGTTATTTTCTTTTATATCAAGGAATAAATATATATACTAAAATCAAATTTATATTATTATAAATGTGTTAGTGAGATAATATATTAATTATTTCAGAAGTTAGCCTTAACATGTTCATAAATATTGTTCTGGCTAAAAATATAACGTTGATTAAAGAGGTGGAAAATAGATTATAAGACTATTGTTATTAAAAGGGTGAAAAATAGATAATAACCATATTATTTTTTAAATTTAAATGGACAGAACATGTAAAAATAACTCATTTAATATCTTTGTCCCGTGCATGGCACGGGGTACATACTAGCTATATATATATATATATATATATATATTAATGAAAATTAAAAAATAGTCTATCTATATTTATATTTCTTTTATACGTGCTAAAAAAAAGTAAATAACAATTTCTTTTAGACATGCACCAAAGAAAAGAAAATTCATATTAGCTATTAACTTATAAATAATTGTATGCAACCATATATATGCTTATAAGAAGTTTAATTAATTATTAATTAATAATTAATATCCCTTCTTCATAGCAGTCCTCCTTTTCTTCTTAGACCTTTTGAGGTCCAAGGACCCGTCCGCTTGACCACAAGCGCCTGAGGGTTTGAACGGAAAAGTCCTTCCGTAGCCTGTAGCTGACCGAGAAGTTCAACCAAGGACATATGCATTTTGTTCATATTGTAGTTTAGGCAAAACTGCTCAAAGCTCTTGGGCACCGACTGAAGTATTATATCAACCTGGGTTTTCTCTTCAATCTCAGCCCCTAAAACCTCCAGCTCGTTGAGTTACGCCATTAGCTTAAGAGCATGCTCCCTTACGGGAGTACCCTCAGCCGTGGTGGTCGTCATGAGAACTCTCATGATCTTCTGTTGGGCCGCCCTAGACTGGTGGCCTAAATGCTCTTTCCGATTGAGGAGCATGTCATAAGCGGTCGCCAAGGTCTGATGCTGGTGTTGCAGCACATTGGGTCATAGAGGTCAATATGTAGCAGCGAGCCATCTCATTAGCCTTGGTCCACTTCGCATACTTCTCCTTCTCAAGCTCAGTGGAGTTCTCGCCCGGGGCGTCTGGACAGGCTGACAGCACTATGTTCAAGCTCCATCTCCAATCAATATAATTAGGACTAGTAAGTTAATTTTCTTTTAGAATCACAGACAGCGGATTGAAAGACATGTTGAATATAGCCTAAGAGTCATGAAAATAAATTTTACTGATTAAACATTTTGAATTTAACTTGTGAATACTGATATTCTCAAAACAATATTAACTTAAATTCACTGACATCTCAAAACACCGACAGTCCATGCATGCCACGATGGGCTGCTCTACGCTCGCCCTACATCATTAAGCTCATGAGAAGAGATCAATCTATTCATAATACACGTGAAACCGCCGCCCCTCTCTATCTCTCTCTAGATCTCATTCTAGCTTTATCTTCTTCTTGTCGCTCCACCGGTATAAGTTGAAGAGGTGTAAGAGTGATACAATAGAAGATCCCGAAGGTAATCGAGTCCCTGTGATAATCTACAGAAGTCGATGAATCTCAACCCGAAGGGCGAGATCCGCCGACCCCAGCCCAATCGCCAACCGCCGCGACCAGCCGGAGAACCGCCGAACCCGACTGGCCCGACACCGCGACGAACCGGCGTGACACAACCCGGCGATCGACGCGACACGACCTGACCGGTGATCCAACATGACCGGCAGCTCCCGCCTTCTGTTCGTGATCTCGACTTGTTCGTGTGCTGTTCCCGGTCATCCTGAATCCGACAGATTCAGAAAATTTTAAGCCGTAAGTTTTCTACGTCAAACCTTTAGATCAGTTGCGCATAGGTTTACGTTTGCTATTGAATTCAAAACTTATACATAACAAGCTCCTTATAGATCCCAACACCCAGAAGACGAGTAAACACATAGAGCGCAAGTACCGCTTGATACGAGAAATCGTAGGAAGAGGTGACGTCTTGGTCACCAAGATAGCATCGAAGAACAACCTTGTGGATCCTTTCACGAAGAGTCTGCTCATAAAGGTCTTCGACAGACACGTGGAGGAAATGAGAGTCAGATGTTACGCGATAGGATCGACATAGTACATTTAGAATGAGGATTGAAATAGCTATACTAGGAAAAGCGAAAGCTTTAGTATAAGTGATGATTGTTAGAGTGTATACTTAAAGCTTGACTTTTCGCGTAATAAACACTATATTTCCGTTGAATGAGAATCATGTTTAATTAAACTGTCTTATGCTCTAATGTTCTACATTTGGATATTGTGGTTTATCACGGATGGACAGAACACTACGTATTGGTTACTTGTAAAAAATAAATAATATACTTCACAAATTAGATGGAAATGAACAACCTATCGTGATAGGTTACAGTGTCAACTGTACAGTCTGTCTTGACTGATTAGTTGCACTAGTACACTTGGTGTATTGAATGGATCACAACGAGGATAAGTTTGATTTATACTGATCAAGTAAACAAACTAAACCTCAGTTAATTATTGCGTGCTCTTAAACCGTAAGATATAAACATGCATGTGCATACAGTAGTTGCGACTTTGATTCACCAAAAAGTGAGATCCATTCTGCTGGGTCAATAATCTAACGTGTTTTAGGTAGTGATATTGTGTGTATGGTGTGTTGTCTGTATTTACGGTCACTGTGTGCGATAGTCTGATGATATCCCCGAGATAAGCTCAAGAAGGATTATTATGTTAAACCCTCCAGGTGGATTAAGTTCCGAGAGAACAATAAAGAATTGAGTGGTACTAGTCACGACACAAGACGTAAATCAATTATATTAGCAATACTTAAATTAATTGACGGACATATTTTAAACATGGGGAGATAAATCGAGTAATTATTATCGAAGCCTTAAATGTAATTTGGGAGCCAAATGGAAAAATAAACGATATTTCTTTGGTGGACTAATATATCGTTCATGTAAAAGTATAGCGGGCTTGGCCTAGAGTTAGGCCCAAACTTGGAAAGCCCATATTTGGCGCCTCCATAAAGTTCCTGTTGTAGCCTATAAACACAAAACTTCTCTTGGTATTTTAGCACAACATACGTGAGAAACTTTAGAATCGTAATTGAGAGAGCTTTGTTCTGTCACCCACCAAGACGAGTAAAGCCATGTAAGGTAATACATTAGAAGTCCCGAGGTCACCCAAGGCAACCCCGAGACATGCATCGTGTACCCACGCACCAGGGCCCGCTCGCTGATCACCTTCAACGCACACGCACGCCCGCAGTCAGCCGCGAGCTGCCCCGCGCCAGCATAGCCGTAGCACGACACCGCGAGACGCATGCATCCCGATGACCCGCACGCGCACCTCGACGACAGACATCCACGAGAAGAGGCGTGAAGAAAGAGGTGAGAAGATCTCTCAGAACCGTTTGACCAACCCCGTAGACGGTGTACATCTAAACTTAGCCTGCAAAGTTTGAAGCTGTAAGTGTTCAATATAAACTTTAGTACCCTACGAATTAGGCTTATTTTTTGTAGGATAGATTCGTGACTTGCATGATTCGACGTTCCTAATAGAACCTCAACAGTTCAGAGGTAAGGCTTGATCGCCGCCCTCCTTCTAGCATCATTTTGTTGACAGTCGACCGTCGGGTGATATTTATTAGCTGGCTTAATCGGTGATTACGAAACATTAAATGCGATTGTGTAAAAAAGGAGAATAAAGAGTGTGTAAAATAAATGGACATCGAGGTCGTTGATCTCTATTGTGGAGATCAACGAAGAGAATGAATTATTCGAAAGAAGTATAATAAAAGTATTTGGATGCGTGTTTTTTTTATTTTTGTGTATGTGTGTGTATGTTCTCTTTTTTTCTTTTTCTTTTTTTCCTTCTCTTCTTCCTCTTCTCTCTGAGGCATAAGTAGTCATATTTTTACATAGAAAAAGTAGAAAATCAATAAATGCAATGTGTCAGCTAGGAGTAGACATGGCCAAAACCCGGGTCGCCGGGCTAAAAAACACTAACCCTGAACCGGCACGAACCTATACTCGTGCCGGGTCCGTGTTCGGGCCGGGCCGGGTCCGTGCATTTTTTAAAAAAAAGTATAAAAAAATAACAAAATAATTAAAAAGAAGGGTCATCGACCCGGCCCGGCCCTGACCCTCCGGGCCGAGTCATGAAATGAATGACCCTTACACGGCCCTTCTGAAATCCGGGCCGGTCCCGGACCCGTGGTCAACGGGTTTGACCGGACCGGGTCTGTGCCGGGTCTGGGCTGGGTCAGGGCCGGGTCGGCGGGCCGGGCGACCCTTTGGCCATGTCTAGCTAGGAGTGTAAGTTGGTGTCGCGCGTATCCATGCAGAACTTGACTTTTGAGGATGTGACTGATTAGACGGTCGGGCGGTGGCTTTATCAGCTTTAACGTTTTCATATTCAAACGACAGGGGACCAGTCTTTCGGTGGAATATTTGTGATGAGATCGGCAAGAGCAGTTTCCCGTCGATTGGGGGATCGACAGGTTCGGCTGGTGTTGCCTCCTGGGCCACCTGTATTTGGACTTTGTATAGGCTCATTACTCGTTTACCGCGTATTGTCGAACTGAACCGGAACTTAAAAATTTAGGTACAACAGTATATAAATAAATAATTATTTTTATCTTTATAATAAAAGATTATATCATCTACCAGTATTGGTTGACAATAAATAAAACTATTTATCAATTAAATAAATTTATCATTCAATTCTAATTTATATTTTGAATTAAAGAAGTATCAAGTCTGCATTGAATTAAAATATATTATAATATAGGATAAGTAAGTTGTACAAGTAGTCGTTTTAAACATATAATTTTTTAAAAACTTACAATAATATAGTATGTATCCTTATTTTAATTGCCATGTAATATACAAGTGTTATGCTTTACTAATTATTANAAGAGAGGACGTTTCACGTTCATATTGATAGAGTAAATAAAGTAAGCCAAATAATTATTCGAAGCATTGTGAATGAGTTTGTTCTATTAAAAAACAATTGTTCAAAAACCACAATAAATAGATGAGATGCAGAATTATCTTAAACCAAGCTATCTCCAATACCAAAACTGTGCGGGTGCTTCCCATACCGGGGGAGAACATAAACAAAACAATAAGAATGTGAGGAATCACACCATGCCTCTATCAGAATACAACACTTGGAACTACAAATTATCTCCCCATAATTCAGCAGTATTATAGGTTACCAAAACAGATTATTAAAGAAAAGGAGACAAATCACACATCATGTTTGGAAAAGTGCACGGATGACCCAGGAAATTACAGAATAAAAGAAATGAATATGTACATTGAGAAACAAAGTGTTCGACTATGTAAGCAATTCATCCAGCTGAAGTTTCGCTAGCTTTTACAAATCGACCCTTCACACGTTTCCTAGTATCAGCTCTTGCTTTTCGTGATTCATACCGTATATGCTTGTCGTACCTAGGCACAAACATTGTGCCATGATTAGATACAGGGAGATAAGTATGAGAATACGATGAAAGAAAATAACAGAAGACAGATACCTTCGTGCTTTCTTCTTTTCCTTGTAACGTTGCATAGCATTGTCTCTATTTTTTGCAAGCAGCTCCAGGTCAGCATTTGTCATGGCCGAGACATGTTCACTTCTCACTAAAATGGACTGATCTGTGAACTGGGGATCTTTTGAGCTGCCTCCACTTTTGGGTTTTGAGAAACCTAAATATGATGATGGCTTTGATACAGGGAAATTGTTGCATTCGGATGTCGCAGGCCCCTAGTTATTTGAGATACTCTTGAGTTATGACAAATGTAATAAAACTTACAAATTCTGGATTTTGGAAAGAATGAAGAAATACAAGAAACACATCTTTATGAGTTTAAGCTTTCAGTTTGGACTCCTAAGAAATCACCTTCATAGATGATAGAATCATTGGAATCAAACCAGTGAAAATGGGACAAGCAAATAATGAACAATGAATCAACTTACATTCTGGACAAAGCCAACTGCTATATTATGGAACAGCTATTCTGCATACTTATTGACATAAATTGTTTATCAGAGTCCTAATCTAACAAATGATTCAATTGTCCCTAAATTCATGAATGAAATACATTGCGATCACAGTGCTCTGTCGGCTACTAATGTGTTTCTGACCATGCATTCATATCTTTTGGTGCATACTTAAGTGCTCGTTTTCATTTCTTCCCATACTCAAACCATTCCATATGGAGTACATAGGAACTCTAAAGAGAAGGCAGTTTTATAAAGAAAATTTTATTTTTCCAGAACCAAAAGGTCTAAAAAACTTGCAACCTTGTAGCAAGATCAGTTTCTAAACATGTTATACTGTCCAACATAGAGATCATAATATTGTATATCCCAAACACCATGCTGCCGTGAACTTCTGACATGTAACAGGATGACCTTAAAGAATCCACAAGAGTGTAAAACAAAGACAAGCAAACAATGAATTTGGTTAATACCATTTCACATGACACAACTGGTATACCAGGGTATATTTTCCCCAAGTAAAATTGTATCTATTTTAATCACCATATGAAGCAATAATGAGGACAAATAGAAGATGGGCAAAGAAATAACTTCTCACATTAAAGAGAATAATGTCTTCATTAGTAACTAGATGGTTCACCTCAGAGAGGTCCAGCCCTCTACGCCTAGACAAGGGTGCCTCTTTTAGAAGTTCTCCGTAACTTTTGACAGTGTACAACATGTCACTGACATCATATTCTAGTTCTAGGTCGCCAGACTCATCACGGCTCCTCAACTTTCCCAGATTGAAGTCCCATATCTGCAAAAAATGAAAGCAAACAACATTAAAGTAGACAGAAAATAGCAGTCCAATTTTGAACCAAGAACAACAGGGCCTGACGGTCACTTTTTTAAATTTGCAGTTATCCAAAGCAATACTGAGATTTTATGGCTTACTAATCCGCATGAAATAGAATGTCCACAAAATTTATGAAATATTAATTGATCCTTAAATGGAATTACTTTCTTATGTATACAACCTGTGAGTTTAGCAACACCCAAATATTGAACAGACCTTGGATAGTAGATCCACAGACAATAAGCATAAGTGACAAGCGAGCAATATAGAGATCAGTAATGATATCCACTGATGCATACAATAAACATTAACAGGAAACAGAAGTAGGAACAGAATAAGATATCATAATTAAAGAATTATATTACTGCAATATTACTCAATTGATAAGATTAGAAGAGCGGATCCTTATCCAGTCCTAGGAAATCTTTCTCCAATTAGATAAACTTTATATCCAATTGCAGCCTTAAGTCTTGCAATGACGATAATTTTCCCCACAACATATGATTTCCCACTACATTTTAGTTAGACGAGACCAAAACCAATATTGAACTCGAATTTACATGCAGGGAAATATCACAAAAATCCATCCAAATCATCTCAGATTATGCATTTTATACTGTCCAACGATTGCTCAAGACATCGAACACAACAACTGATCTAAAATGCAGCTGAAGAAAGCAGATGAAAAAAAAAACGATGATACCTGTGAGCTATTGTTATTGACTTCCTCCTTCGTCTCCATCATTAGCAATGACGTAAAACTTCCATTCTCCTGCTGCTGAGGCTGCTCTTTCTCCTCCAGCAATTGCTGCTCCTCACAAACACTCTCTGGCCGCCATCCGCCACCGCTTGGCGTCCTCGGGCCCACTTCTTCTCCACACTCCGCATTGCCGCTGTCTGCCAACAACTCCAGCAGCTGCTTCAAAATCACCTGCTTCTGCTTCCCACAAGTGGGGCTCTTCCTCTTCTTCACCAACAGGCTCCCGCAGTCGGAGTAAACCGCAGACCTCACGTTGGGAACCATAAGCTCCCCCAGCAGGCCGCCCCACTCGTCGGACGGCGGCGGCCCTTTGTTCTCGATCTCCAAACCCCAGGCGGCCGCCAGATCCAGAGGCGAGGGGCAGCCGGAGAAGCCCTCGAGGGGGCAGCGATCGTGCGCGGCGGAGACGGCGCAGCTGCCGTGAGCGTCCCAGTCGCACTCCTGGCAGAGGACGAGGCCGTCGGTGGCGCATCGGACGGAGGCAGGCCCCGAGGCGCAGTTGTCGCAGATCTGAGATCGGAGGTGCTTCCTGGAGAGGGCGTTGGCGGAGTGCACGTGCTGGTCACAGGATAGGCACAGTTTGGCGGTGTCCGCTCGGCAGTAGAGTATGGCTGCCCGCTGACCGCAAAAATCGCACGCCACCATCGTTTTGAATATCCCACCAGACGAATTCTTAAAATTTCCAATCGAGGAAACAAAATGAAAAGATATTGACGAATATGGAAAGTGGAGCTTCCAAATTTTGTGCTCAGAATTTGCGGATAAAAAAGAAAAAGCACTGTAATAATTGTAATGAAAGGATATTTGCTTTCTGTTTTAGGGTTTTTAATAGGGATTGTTGGCTGCAGACATAAGCTCAGCAACGGAAAGGAAGATGGATGTATGTGTATAATTCTATAATCACTTTGCAGTCTAGAGTCTACACTCAATACAATAATGCTTCTACTGTTGCGCTATTAATAATTGTGATTATAATTTTAATAATATTTCTTTTTGGACTAACGTATTCAATTGGAGGATGTACAGAGTAGACAACTCGTAAAATATCTTTACATTTTAGCTGAGTTGGCACTACCATCTTTTCCTGTTGCTTTGTTTATTTACAAATGTGAACCATCTCTTTTCTCGGTCTTTTTTTTTTCAACATCATTTTATAAAACCATAAACCAACCAGGAAATGTTCAAGCAACCATCGGGTTGCAACAAGCAACACCAGCCCACAGGCCACAGAGAATAAACAAAACACTCAGGCTAGTCCCCCTACACGACCACATCGGTCTAAACAATACCTACACAAAACTAAAAATACAATGCCTTCCACAACAACACACACAAAAAGAAAAGGAAGACGGGACAGACAGTCTCTTAAGCAAAGCTTTGTCATGCAGCTCAATTGTCACCTTTTCCCATCCTTCTGCAACTCCTTGTCCAAGCCAACTCCTCAAACCTAACAGAAGGTCTTCCTCTGAGATTTTGGATTGCTCAGAAGATAACTTCCAATCTGCCACCACTGCATCTTTTCTGAAAGCTTGTTCTTGCACCAGATAAACTCCAGGATATAAACATATAGCACTGATCACAGATTAAGGTTGCGATCTGATGCAGATTAAAGCGTACGATGGGGACAGATAAAACTCAAAGGAACATTTTTATTTAATCGTTCAAAGCTGCTGTAACAAATGAAAGACTCCCCTTATTTATAATCTCCTAACCCTACTAAATAAGAAATAATACTTCTACTAATAATAATAAGAATAGTAATAAAAATCCCTTATTAAATAAAAGCAGTAGATAAATAAATAGCAGCAGCAATAGTGACAGGTCTAAGCCCGACGTCGATCATATTTCTCCAAGTATGCCAAGGCGATCTCGTCGCCATCATTCTCCCCCGGTTGGAGAGGATTCGCCCTCGAATCCAAGGCGATCTCGTCGTCTGAATTGTCGCCAAGATAAGGAATAAGGTGTTTGACATTAAACACGTCCGAAGTGCGAATATGCGAAGGAAGGCGAAGACGGTAAGCATTTGGATTTATCTTCTCAATGATCTCAATTGGGCCAATTTTTCGGGCAGAGAGCTTGTTATATTCATGAGCTGCAAAGCGGTCTTTCGTCAAAACCGCCCACACGTAGTCGCCGACGTTGAACTCGACGAGCCGCCGGCGAGAATCCGCGCCCCGTTTATACGCGGCTGTCACCTCCTCGAGCCGGGCGCGTGTTGCTTCATGCGTGTGTTGCAGCGCCGAGATAAGATCCTCGGCTCGCTGATCCGACTGGACCAAAGAAGGGAGGGCCAGCAAGTCGACCGGACCCCGCGGCTGGACCCCATAAACCACGCGAAAAGGAGACAGGCCAGTGGAACGGCTCACAGCCGAATTATGGGCGAACTCAGCCTGACTAAGCCGTGCATCCCAACTACGCAAATTCTCACCCAACAAACAACGTAGAAGATTACCAAGGGAGCGATTGACGACCTCTGTCTGGCCGTCCGTCTGCGGGTGGTAAGCACTGCTAAAATCGAGACGCGTGTTGGCTAGGCGTCACAAGGTACGCCAGAAGTGGCTGAGAAAACGTGAATCACGGTCGGATACGGTCAAAGACGGGAGACCATGAAGACGATAGACCTCCCGAAAAAACAACTACGCGACATGGAGGGCACCGGAAGTGCGCTTGCAAGGAATGAAGTGAACCATTTTAGAAAAACGATCCACCACCACAAAAATAGAGTCAAACCCCCGTTGTGTGCGCGGCAACCCCAAAACAAAATCCATGCTGATGGCTGCCCACAGCTGGGATGGAATCGGCAAAGGGCGATATAGACCCGCATTCGTCGCAGTCCCCATAGAAACGTGACAAATTCGACAGCGGGCCACAAAACGGGCAACGTCCCGGCGTAAAGTCGGCCAAAAGTACGAACGTTGGACCAAATCAACAGACCTACATGACCAGCTCCATGCAATTCAGACACCAATTTCAAATGCAGGCTACAATCCGGGATACACAACCTCACGCCCCGAAAAATAAAGCCATCATCAAGGAAAAAATCCTCGAAAGGACTAGCAGAAAGGTGATGAAAAATGGGGCCAAAGAAAGGATCAGTACCGTATAACTCCCGGAGCGTGTCGAAGCCGACCACCGTGACACGCATGTCAGTCAACAGAAGGGCCCGACGACTAAGTGCATCGGCCACCCGATTAGTCAAGCCCGACCGGTGCTTCAGGACAAACGTGAACTGCTGTAAATACGAAGACCACGTAGCATGGCGAGTCGAAATGTTGTCTTGAGAAGCAATGTGGCGGAGGGCCTCATGATCAGAGAAGAGCACAAACTCACGCTGGAAAAGATAATGTCGCCAATAGTGAACAGCCCGGTAGACAACATAAAACTCAATGTCGTACGTGCAATAACAAAGCCGCTGCCCGGAGATCTTTTCACTGAAGAAAGCGACCGGCGAGGGTCCTGGCTAAGTACCACCCCAATGCCGACCTTGGGAGCATCACAAGAGAGCTCGAAAGGACGAGAAAAATCTGGCAAAACCAAGACGGGAGCTGAAGTGAGGCGCTCCTTAATCAAAGCGAAGGCTTGAGCCGCCGCCTCTGTCCAAACAAACGATTTCCCGGCAAGGCAATTGGTAATAGGGGCCATAATAGAACTAAAATGGGAGATAAAACGACGGTAAAATGAAGCGAGGCCGTGGAAACTCCTCGCCTCCGTGATCGTTGTAGGCGTAGGCCACTTGCGAATTGCCGCAACCTTGCCATCGTCCACGCGAATGCCAGCTGCCGACACCACAAAACCCAAGAAGAGAACCGTGTCCACAAAAAACACACACTTTTGAGGAGCCGCATAGAAGGACTCCGCTCGAAGAATAAGCAGCACATCACGCACATGCAATAAATGGTTATCTAGAGAACGGCTGTAAATAAGAATGTCGTCGAAATAAACGACGACGCACTTACCGATGAGGTCCCTCAAAGTCTAATTCATCACACGCATAAAAGTACTCGGTGCGTTGGACAATCCAAAAGGCATCACCAACCAATCAAAGAGGCCTTTTCGAATTTTGAATGCTATCTTCCACTCGTCTCTCGGCCGAATACGGATCTGGTGATAACCGCTCCGAAGGTCAAGCTTGGTGAAAATAGTCGCATCATAGAGTTGGTCTAAAAGGTCATCTAGTCGAGGAATGGGAAAACGGTACCGCACAGTGATTTTATTAATGGCCCGACTATCCACACACATACGCCAAGAGTCATCCTTCTTTGGGACCAATAAACCTGGAACGGCACATGGGCTGAGACTATGCTGAATGACCCCTCGCTGGAGCAGGTCATCCACTTGTCGTCGGAGCTCGTCATGCTCTGCCGAGCTAATGCGGTAATGAGGACGGTTTGGAAGGGCAGCGCCAAGCACCAGATCAATATGATGCTGAATATCTCGCAAAGGAGGCAGTCCTGAGGGCAGCTCAGACGGAAAAACGTCTGAAAATTCCTCCAACAAAGGAAGAATGGAAACCGGAGGGGGCTGAGGGGAAGCCAAGTCGGAACCCACCAATAAGAGAATGAGATGACCTTCCTTCACTTCCTCCACAAATGCCTTGCCCCAAAGAAACAAAACCGGAGAAGTGGAGGACGGTGGCAAGGGACGTGGCGGGGCCGACTGCAAGATCATCTTAACACCCTAAAAACTGAACGTATAGGTGTTAAGACGACCATCATAAAAGACTACCCGATCATACAGCCAGGGTCGTCCCAACAACAGGGGACACGCGTCCATGGGGACAACATCACACCAAATCCTATCGCGGTAAGACGCGCCTATAGAGAAAGACACAAGCACGCGACGGTTGACGGTGACGCAATTCCCACGATGTATCCACGCCAAAGAATAAGGTCGCGGGTGTGGTTCGGTTGACAACCGGAGCTTGTTCACTGCTTCTTCTGCAACTACATTTTCACAAGAACCCGAATCAATAATAAATTTACAAACCCGATCACCTACCGTGCACGTGGACTCAAAAATCTGGTGTCATTGGCTAGAAACATCAACATCCCCGTGAGGTGTCAAGCAAGAACGACGTAGAACAAGTGCCTTCCCAACATCACCACGATGATATTCAACCTATTCCGATGTGTCGTTATAAAAAATCGGCAGTCCATCATATACGGGTTGCTCATCCGAGTCTCCACCACCGTCAACAAACATCGAACGTCTGTCGGTCGATCGAGGGCAAGCCGACTGCCGATGGCCCACCTCCCCGCAAGAAAAACAACGTAACCCGCCACCCGACCAAGGACCCACGTGCGTGCCGGTCGTGGCGGTTGACCCTCCAAGCCCATGCGCGCTAGAGTGAAGCTCGACGTGGTCCGTCGAGCCTGTTGCTGCTCCGACATAAGGGCGCGTTGGTGGGCGTCGCCTAGGGTGTCCGGTATAAACATGTTCACGGCATCTTGAATCGGTATGCGAAGTCCACTGATGTAACGAGAGATCAACTGGTCCGACGTCTCACGACTATCAATTCGAGTGAACAGCTTATAGAATTCTTCAGTGTAGTCGTCAACCGACCTATTCCCTTGACGAAGTGTTTGGAATTTTTGATAAATAATACGAACATAATTGTAAGGGAGAAATTCCTCTTCCATGTGTTTACGAAACTTAACCCAAGAATTGATAGGGGTTTTGCCCAGCCGATGTCGCCGCTGCTCCAGTTGTGTGAGCCACGCTCCTGCTCGTCCGCGCAAACGCATCGCCACAAGCCCAACGCGTCGTTCATCTGGAACATCTTTAAAATTAAGCACTCGTTACACTGCGGTAATCCAATCGAGAAATTCAGCAGCGTCAAGCTCGCCCGAAAACTCCGGCACTTCCACGCGGAACCCGGATTCCCAGCGGCTATCGCCAACCTCTGTCGCGTGGTGCAGTCCACGGTCACCACCTCTGCCGTCACTGTCACGGTGCCCTGCGTACCGCCTGCCATCGTCGCCTTCTCGCTGGCCATGCCGGAAACCGAAAGGGTTGACTTCCGACATGGTATCGTCGCCGCTGTCATTGCCGTGCGACGGATGAGGTGAACGACAGCGATGTCCCCCGCCATGCCCTCTGCCACCTCTTCCGCCGCGAAGCCCACCGCGACCCCCACGGCTTGCCGGGTCGCGGTCCGTGTGCTCATCCGCTAACAAGGTACGCATAGCCAGGCGAATCCATCGATACCCTCCGAAAGCCCTTCGACTCGCCGATCAACCCTCTCAAGTTGAAAGCCGAGATCGTCTGTTCTTCGATCCAAATCCTCCAGATGAGCATCTCGTCGATCATTTTCGTTGTTTCGTTTAGGCGGCATCGTTAATCGATCTGGTCTGCTGATACCAACTGATGCAGATTAAAGCGTACGATGGGAACAGATAAAACTCAAAGGAACATTTTTATTTAATCGTTCAAAGCTACTGTAACAAATGAAAGACTCCCCTTATTTATAATCTCCTAACCCTACTAAATAAGAAATAATACTTCTACTAATAATAATAAGAATAGTAATAAAAATCCCTTATTAAATAAAAGCAGTAGATAAATTAATAGCAGCAGCAATAGTGACACGTCTAAGCCCGACGTCGATCATATTTCTCCAAGTATGCCAAGGCGATCTCGTCGCCATCATGATCCTACTCCTCTGTTCCTTCCTGTAGTTCTCTCCTCACATGGCTCCTTATCTCTGAAGGTTTCCTGATTGTTGAGCAACTGAACCTCTTCATACTCCACCCATTCCAATTTTGCCTTTTGCACCAGTTGATGTTCATCGATCCTCTCACCTCTAAAAATTCAATTATTCTGGGTTCGCCACAACCACCATAAAAGATATGTTGACAATCCCACTCTGTCATTCTACCATCAGTATCTCTTTACATGTCTTAGTACATAACTAAGACCGTCTCCAACGGAAACGCAAAATCCATTTTTTGCAGTAGAAATCTCTCAAACCGAACGGCAATTCCGATCGCAAAATGCGTTGATTCTCTTCTCTCTCCTGTTTTGGACGCAAATTTGTGTCCGACAATTGCTAAAGCAACTCCCGAACCTAATTCCCAAGGTCACATATCTGTCGCATATTGTGGCCGGGAGCGGCCGCTTCCGGTCCATGCCGCCGTTGGCAGAATCGTCTTCCTTTAAGAATTATTTTCCGCAGTATCTTTTTTTTTTTCATTTTAGTCCTCCTTTCTCCATCTCTTTCATCCTCTTTATTTTTTTTAGTCCCATCCTTTTTAATTTAGATCATATGATAATTAAATTAATGAATGTTAATATATATTTTTTCAAAATAATAATAATAGTAATGTAAAATGCTAAAAAAATTAATTTCATAAAAATTAGATGGTATAATATTTAAAATAAAAATATTATGTTTATTATTTAATTTTATATAGTTCACAATAATAATAAAAAATATACATATTATTTATGGTATTTTTATTAACAAGAAAAGAAAACACTACCATTAAATAACAACAATGTTACTAATTCAGATTAAAATAACATTAATACATGATACATCATGGTTTAAGGAAAAACATTTAAATAACTAGTGCTGAAATGAAATATAACATCACACAATACTAAAAATAAATATACATCATAAACCCAGAAACTAAAAACAAGCATGAGAATTTAGTAATATGGCAAGTTGGCACCGCTTCCTCCAAGATCATTGAAAAATTAGCCAAATGCATTGGTTGGAAATGGATCCGATTGGGCTCGTTGAGCTCTTTTCTCCAAGATTCGCGCTTTTTCAGCTTCAACGTATGCTCGAACTCTAGGATCTGCTATGGAACTGACATCTTGAAGCGGAATTTTATTTTCTTCCCTCATTCTCTTAAAGCATGAGATCTGTCGCGTATTTCCAATTGGTGTTTTATTTGGTCGTTTGTATTTTTCATTTCCTCAACAAGTCTTTTGTTTTCTTCCTTGATAGCATTGATGAGCGATGATGAATCATCATTTACCTTTCTTTTTAGTTTGAGTTTTTCACCCCGATAGGTCTTTCAGATGGAGAACCACTAGCAAATTGATTCGAGTCATTTAAATTTAGAGAAAATGAAGAAATACCTGGGAATTCTTGTCGGGCAGACTCGGGAGTTGAATTTTCTGACTCCGAAGATGGATAACAATCATATTGTTTTTTTCTTGCTCCTCGTAGCTCCATCTTTATAATTTTCAAAGTTTTTAATAATATCCCAAACGTGGTCGTATTTTCCTCCAAATTTGAATTTGAAATCTTCTTTGAACAACACTTTTGCTTTCAGCATCTATAATTTTTCATAAACAATTAACCAAAGCTTATATAAATAATAAATTTAATAAGTAAAAATATAATAAAATTTTAATACTCACCATATCTTCATTTGAAGAACCACTTTGATGCGTATCTTTTACTACTTTTATGCAAGCATGGAGTCTCTTGGCTGCTTTTTCGATTGTTTGAATTCGTGCTAGCATAGATCTCTGGGTACAAACTTTCCAATGCTCAAGTTGTCCTTCATTGAAACCTTTTTCTACACGGGACCAAAATCGATCAGGTGATTGGTATACCCCAATAATTGGGTCCTGAGAAATATCCATATAAACCTGACATAAAAGAATATTTTCATCGTAGTTATAGGAAGATGAACGGATCGACATTCTTACAAGAAGATAGATGTGATAAAGGTTTAGTGTATAGAACAAAAATGTTGGGATGTAGCCATTACAATATCATATCTTCTTTTATTGTGAATGACGCTCTCCCTTCTCAATGGTTTAACCCGAAATGACCACTCACTGCAAAGTTCCCCACATCTTTCAATGCTTTTACCCGAAGATAAACACCCTTTGCAAAGGTGATCACGCTTCTCCATGTTCTGACCCGAATATGACATATCACTGCAACGTTCCCCACATCTCCCAATGCTTTGACCCAAAAATGAACACTCTCTGCAAAGGTGATCAAGCTTCTCAATGTTCTGACCCGTAAATGACATATCACTGCAATGTTTCCCACATCTCTCAATGTTTTGACCCGAAAATGAACACTCTCTGCAAAGGTGATCATACTTCTCCATGTTCTGACTCGAAAATGACATATCACTACAATGCTCCCCACATCTTTCAATGCTTTGTCCCGAAGATAAACACCATCTGCGAAGGTTATCACGCTTCTCCATTTTCTGACCCGAAAATGACCTATCACAGCAAAGTTCCTCACATCTTTCAGTGCTTTGACCCAAAGATAAACACCCTCTGCAAAGGTGATCACGCTTCCTCATGTTCTGACCCGAAAATGACCTGTCATTGCAAAGTTCCCCACATTTTTCAATGCTTTGACTCGAAGATAAACACCCTCTGCAAAGGTGATCAAGCTTCCCCATGTTCTGACCCAAAAATGACCTATCACTGCAAAGCTTCCCACATCTTTCAATGCTTTCACCGGAAGATAAATACCCTCTGCAATGGTGATCACGTTTCTCTATGTTCTGACCCGAAAATGACCTATCACTGCAAAGTTCCCTGCATCTTTCAATGCTTTGACCTGAAAATGATCACTCCCTTCAAAGGTTACCACATCTTTCAAATTCACTACTATAAGAACATAACATATACTAAATTCTTCACACATTTGAATCTCTTCAATCATCTTACTAAATCCTTCACACACCTGAATCTCTTCAAACATCTTATCATATTTCTCTATCCCACATTTTTACAATGAATTTTTATTTTGGCAATTCATCATCTTCTTCATCTGATTCTGATGATGATCATATGCTAATTATGACTGCTCTTCATGTTATCGCTAATAACAACATCATCATTCAACATCTTCTCAATCAACAAAACCAAGAAGCCTCCCATGGAGGTTCTGTTCCTGGGCATATTGTTATCAATCATGATCGATAGACTGTTGATCGTAGGTTTTACATTGAATATTTCTTATAAAATCAATTGTATTATGAGACCATGTTTCGTAGAAGATACAAAATTTCTCGCTCGTTGTTCCTTCAAATTATCGATGTAGTCAAAGATCATAATCACTACTTTCAACAACGAGTGGATCGAGCTTGCAGACTTGGATTGCCTCCAATACAAAAAATAAATGTCGTCTTTCGTATGTTGGCATACGGCGTTCCAGCAGATGCTACAGACGAGTATGTCAAAATTGGTGAGTCTACTACAATTGAAAATATGAAAAAGTTCTGTTGAGCGATAGTTGAGGAATTTGGCGAGCGATACCTGCGGAGGTCCACATCTGATGAAATTTCTAGGCTTTTATATATTGGTCAACAACGTGGTTTTTCCGGAATGTTGGGGAGTTTAGATTGCATGCATTAGAGGTGGAAAAAATTTCACTACAGCATGGGCTGGCCAATATGTTGGTCATAGTGGAAAGCCTACAATCATTCTTGAAGCTGTAGCA